CCGGGACACCAGCAGCGGAGCACGCGCACTTAACCGCTAAGCCATGGGGCCAGCCCCTCAAGTTAATTTCTTAGGATAAAGAAATTAATTTCTTAGGATAAAGAAGACCTAAATATGATAAGCTAGGAAACAACTTTGGACATGGGAGTCAAAAGATTCGGGTTCGTGTCTTGGTTTTGTCCTTTGTTAGACATATGAAGTTGGCTAAGCCATTACACCTCTCTGGGGTTTTTTCCCCTATAACTCTCAAATATCTCCTGTGCCATATGTAGAGCCAGATCTACCATTAGCTAGCTGGGTGACTTCAACAAGTCACTTACTTATCATCTGCGTCACAGTTTACCCTCTTGAGAAGTGACTGGTTAGGATTTTAATGACATGTGAAGGAGACATTGAGTTGGCACTTGTAATGAAATATGACCCAGATTGGTGTTCAAGGAGAAGAAACTTTTTCTGTTAAGCAAGACAAAGAGTCTAAGCTAACATTTACAGGAAGAAATTCCTTTATGTCATCTATTTTTTAAGTATATAAGGCATTGTGCTACTAGGTGACTGACAGATACAGCGCAGCCTTCATGAAGTCTGCATTTTAAGAGTTTAAGGGAAGTATCCAAGTATCTATAATAGAAAGCAAAATATAAGTGCAACTCACAATAAAAGTCCAAAGTACTACAGATATTCAGAGGAAGATGAATCAGAGTGGCATTAAGAATAGATCTTAAAGGATAGGTTGGATTTTGGCAAACAGAAGTTTACAGAAGATTCATTATTAAGAAGATGAATATTCTGGGCTGAAGAAATGGCATTAACAAAACAGCCATAGAGATAGAAGAGAACAAAAATATACAGAGAAAGAGAGTATTAGGGGAACAGCTTGGAAAGTGGCTGAAAACACAACATCCTGGAAGGCCTTGAGTTGCTAGAGATTGGACGTCACTGTTAGGCAATAGAGAAACACTGTACATATTTAAATTAAAAAAAGACAAGGTAAAATATTATTTTGTTAAAATATATCTGATTGGAATATTCAGCAGAATAAAGATAATAATGCTGCAAGAAGAAAAAGACTAAAAGAGAGAGAACAGTTATGAAGGGTTTTAGTTATCTAAAGTATGGTAAAGTGAAGAACAACTGGATTAAAATGTTAGTATTGAGAAAACGACAGAAAAGGATAATTAAAGAAATAGTTAAGGCTTGATGACATTCTGGATACCGGGTGAAGGAGAAGTCAAAGAAGACAGGCTTTGTGCTTGCGTGATTATTACTCAGCCATAAAAAAAGACAAAATCTTGCCATTTGTGACAACATGGATGGTCCTTGAGGGTATTAGGCTAAGTGAACTATGTCAGATAGAGAAAGACAAACACCATATGATTTCACTCATATGTGGAAGATAAACACATGGATAAGGAGAACGATTAGTGCTTACCAGAGGGGAAGGGGGTGGAGGGAGGGCAAAAGGGGTAAAGGGACACATATGTACGGTGACTGATAAAAATTAGACTATTGGTGGTGAACACGATGCAGTCTATACAGAAAATGATATATAATAATGTACACCTGACATTTGCACAATGTTATAAGCCAATATGACTTCAATAATTTTTAAAAATTATTATTAATTGAATATATAAAGTCAGAAAGGAGTTCAAAAGGAGAAGTATGTGAGGGTGTGGGAGAAGAAAACAGCCTAATTTTTCTGTTTGCCAACCATTCTCATAATCATCCTCATTAGAAATTCAAAATTAAAACAGGTTTTAAATCTGAGGTTTATCATCATAGGCTAGTGTGAAAAGGTCTTCCCTCAAACATTTGTATGAAAGTTTCTGCTAACAGTAAGTCTACGGATAGACCTTTTCAGTGTGTGGTATTCACTGCTTTTCTCAGCTTCTAAACTCCTTTCCTAGCACTTCACCACTTACCAAAACCCAACAAGTGTCTAAGTCTCACTTGCTAAGGCCTCTGCTAAACCCCAGATCATTCTCAAGAAGGGTTTACAATCACCACTGACTGCAAAGGACAAACACACCTATGCTGACGCTCCAAAATTTAGTCATTACTAAGAAAATTTAAGTACGATGTTTTAGAGTAAATAATGCATTAAGCACGTTCACATCAGCTGGCTGGTGAGATGTCAAAAAGTCTTGACCAACAACCAAAAAATATGTCACTGGCAGGAGCAAAGTGTGGCTCTCCGAGGACTCTGGGGTAGAACATGGAGAAGCTGAGATAAGTGCGCTGCCCTCAGAGAACTTACCTGGGCAAACTTGTGAATCTGTTCTACCACTGCAGCAAACAGAGCGTGGACACTTTCATCAATCAGACTCTGCATGTAATGCACTGCCTCTTCATCGGACAGGTCTAGACGGAATTTATCCTGAACCTACAAGGTCATAGTCTGTTAGTCTTTTGAATGAAAAAAAACAGATATACTTTGAAGAGACAGAATCAAATGGATATAAATATTATTATAATATATAATGAGCTATTTCTATGCCAAAGAAATGATTCATAACTTATAAGAAATTCTGAATACTGTTCTCTTGAGTGTGGAAGTTTACTGTTTTATGCTCTTTATATCACCCTATCCTTCTAAGTTGTAAATACTTTTTAAGAAAGAAAAGTTAAAGTAAATAGAAAATATGATTCTGTTAGGCCTTGCGAACTTAAAAACAGACAAAAATTGTTCTTTTAACTCAAAGGTCTGCTTTTTTTTGTATTTCAAAGCTAAAACTACTATATAAGATTTAAATTGTGACATATTTATTAACAATCTCCTTCACTTTATCCCTGTTATTCATTATGAAATGGATGTAGCAAGGTGAGATTATATTAATATTCTCCCCCACCTTCACTGCCTACACAGTAAGAACTATGTCATTCCCTGGCAAAATAAACTAAAGTAGATCTTCTAAAATGTTTCCTTTCCTATAGGAGTTCTCTGTACTTCTACAAAGAACTATTTCAGTTGGTCTACAACTTTTAAAGACAGAGGAATTTTTTAAATTTCATATTTAAAGATACAGTTGATCCTCGATAGCAATAAGTACTAGAAAACTTAGTAGATATATATATATGAGAATGGTTCCCTAAAAAATAAAAGACAATGTTATTGAATGATTACTTTGTGCGAAACACTGTGCAAAAGCACCTTACATGCAGTATTTCACTAGACTCTCAAACTGAAGCTATACCAGATGATCCGATAGCTCTGCAGCCTCAGGACAGGAGAAGTAAAAGAGAGCTAGATATAAAAAGTGAAGGACAATTTGGTAGAGGGAGACCTAAGGGTGTATTTTCAATGAACTAACTCTCCCATTTCTGGATCCCAGTTAATGACACATGTTCCTTGAGTTTAATCCTTTAGATTCCTTGACTTCTACTTAGATCATGTCTAACAATTTTGAAACTATTTTTTAAGGACATCAAAGAACTACAGGGCAGGAGAATCAAAACTTCAATCCAATTTATCAAAACTTGCACTTTTGTAAGTACTTGAATTACAAACAGAAGATATGTAATTGGCATATTAAAAATGTTATTTACCAAATATGAAAACCTTCTCTTTTATAACAAAGAAGGTTAACAATATAAATGGTTGGTTGGTATCATGTATACCGACTTATTTTAGGCTACTTGTTATTGTCCCCTAAATCCTTAAGGTTCTATCATTTTCTTCAAGCTACATTCTCCTGTTCTTCAGATTATACAATTTCTATTGATTTATCTTTACGTTCACTGATTCCTTCTAATGCCATAATCCAATATATTTTTAAAGCCATCCAACTAATGTTTCATTTTAGATATTATACTTTCAGTCTGGAATTTTCATTTTGTTCTTTTCCTTCCTAGTTTTCATTTCTCTGTTGAGATCCCTCTCTGTTCAGTCATTATGTATTTATTTTCCCTTAAGCCCTGAACATACTTATAACAGTTTCTTTCCAGTCCTTTAACTGTGACATCTGGGTCATCTCAGGGTGTTTCTACTGACTGCTTTTTTTCATTGACTGTGGGTCACATTTTTCTGTTTCTTCACAAATCTAGTGATTTTTTATTAGATACTAGACATTTTGAATATGTTATAGACTCTGAATTTTGTTATGTTCTTGTGAAGAATCATTCTAGCAGGAAGCCAACTGGCTGAAATCAAATCCAAAATCTGTCCTTCCTGTGATGAACAACTGTAAACTCTGCTCAGGTCTTTAAGCTTCTGACTGCTGCTTCCCTCTCCCCTGGGATCACTGGGCCTACATAGTTACATTTTCAGTCAGGATTTGGGAAAATTTTACATGCAAATTGGGGGAAGGGGACTCACTACCTCTGATTATCACCTTTCCAGAATTTCTCCCCTAACTTTGTGGCTATCCTACCAGCTCCAAACTCTGTCCTTTTACACTTCATCAGTATGGCTGCACCCAAAACAATCTGGAGAGTGCCTTCACACAAAAGGTTGCAAACTTGTAAATCTCAGCCTTTGGAGTTCATCTTTCAAAGGTAGATACCCTTTGTGTTTATGCCTGTTTTTTATTACTCCCCACTGCCTCTGAATAATATTCTTTATTTTTACCATATTTTAAAATTGTTATCTGGATCAGTGTTCTCTGTCTTTGAAACAGGGTACTCTAATGCTTAGTACGATGGAGATATAGCAGAAGATCGAAGGAAACAACCTAATATTCAGTTTCTATTTCTTCAACTTCTAAATGAAATCACCGCCTTCAGTACTAATGATCCACTTGCAATCTTGCATCATACTGGAACGGTTTCAGCCATCAACCATTCACAGAAAACAAAATAGCTTCTCTGAAAGCTAGTCATTCAGCCACTAATAAAATTTCAGCAGTGGGCAATTAACTCATTTTGAGGAGCCCATTTTACCATTACAGCTCTGTAAATTACCTAAAAGTTCTCGTGAGCTAAAGCACGTATTCCTTCATTTTAGTTTTACTTTTCAGAGTTACTCGTAGAAGTTTACACCTTTTTTTGTGTTGGTCCTTTTATATCTTCTCTTTCTTTGATTAAACTTCTCTGGGGTGTTCTTTTTGTTCTCCACATGCCATAGTTGCCAAACTTTTAAATATCCTGATAACACCTTCACTAGACACTCCTTCCATCTTTTCTTCAGCATTTACACGACCTGACTCTGGTGTGTCTGTATTCATCTGAAAGTTTAACATAGTAGTATAGAAATGGTATAGAATATGGTAGGACTAACACCTTTCTTCATTTGGATACTATATTTCAAATAGTAGATTATAAATTTTATAGGCTTTTATATTAGCCACATGACAGTTAGTTCCCATTAAGCTTGAAATCAACTGGAAGCTGGGCAGCAACCAACCAAAATATCACTTGCTATATGTGTCCATGATGAAACAAGTTCTAGAATTGGTAAAAACTTTCGAAGGTGATAAATATATACCCTAGCCTTAGGCAGATGGCACTAAATGAGGGAAAATAAAATATAGTTTCAATTTTTCAGTTCCTATTTTTAAACCAATCAATCTTATTTTTAAACATAGAATGATCTCTTGGAGATCAACTTTCTTCGTTTTTGCTTTTTAATTCCCAGATGCATCAATGGTAAAAATTAGTGGTTGTTACTCTGTCCTTTTAAAACCTTCATTTAGGGGCCGGCCTGGTGGCATAGCAGTTGAGTGCACGTGCCCCGATGCAGCAGCCCGGGGTTCACAGGTTCAGATCCCGGGTGCGCACCGACGCATCGCTTGTCAAGCCATGTTGTGGTGGCGTCCCATATCAAGTAGAGGAAGATGGGCATGGATGTTAGCCCAAGGCCAATCTTCCTCACAAAAAATAAATAAATAAAAATAAATAAATCAAACCTTATTTATCAACTGGAAGAAAAATTCATTTTATCCATTTTATAAAAATTTTATTGAAATTTGACTTACAAGCAAAAATGAACCCTTTTATTTATAGACTTATCTTTTTAAAGCTACCACAAACTACTGTTTGTTCTTTTATTTTAGAAATTTTTCCTTATTGCTATCCTTAACTACAGAGAAAACAATTTAGAATAAGAACTTCAAACTTAACATTATCACTTGATGCTTGGATATCTTATCTTTAAAAGCATAAAATATTGGCGACATGAAAATAAAATTTTTATGACTAAAAATGATTATATGGAAGAGTATAAGGCATTATTTCATCTTGAAAAGTTAGAATCTTCTAAAGACAGTCTCAATTAGCATCCTCTTTGCTAATAATAAAGAGGATTGATTGTACACATGGTTGCAGCATTTTCATATCGGACTATAAGACAGGTTTAATCTGGCAAAATTTGTATTGTAACTAGCCTATAAAAATTGACATCTTTATTTACATAGCAAAAAGCAGCCTAAGTTTCCTTGTCTAACATTGAAGGGCAGTGTAACCTCTCAAATTGTGCTGGGGAGGTAATTATTTATTCCCTTGGATTATCAGGTTTATTGTCCACTAAGTTATCTGCCTGCTCAATTCAGTTTTCCGACCATAATCAAATGGTGATGTAAGAATTAATGAGATACATTAGAAGAACTTTAAGGAAAAAAGTGGATAAATATTTCTCACAAGAAGATGTAATAGGCAAAATCTGTACATTCTGCAGACTCTATCATTCGTTGATTTTAGAAATGATTCTAGAGAGGTTGTAATTAATGATAAACATACTTGCTACTCAATTAGACCATATTAGCAAGTACAGTCATGTGTCGCTTAAGGATGAGGATATGTTCTGAGAAATGTATCCTCAGGCAATTTTATCATTGTGCAAAACATCATAGAGTGTACTTACACAAACCTAGATGGTATAGCCTACCACACACTTAAAAGCTATATGGTACTAAATTATGGGACCGCTGTTGTACATGTGGTCCGTCGTTGACTGAAACATTGTTATGCAGCGCATAACTGTAATGGAAAATCTCTGAGTTATCCAAATCCCTTTTTCAGATACCCTTTTCACACTTGGCATCTTTTTCTTTTTCTTTTTTTTTCTTTTTTTGGTAAGGAAGATTGGCCCTGAGCTAACATCTGTTGCCAATCTTCTTCTTTTTGCTTGAGGAAGATTGTCCCTGAGCTAACATCTGTGCCAATCTTCCCCTATTGGGATGCTGCCACAGCATGGCTGATGAGCGGTGCACAGGTCTGCGCCCAGGATCCGAACCCGTGAACGCTGGGCTGCCAAAGCAGAGTGCGCAAACTTAACCACTACACCACCAGACCAGCCCATACACTTGGTATCTTTTAACTAGAGACAACATTTCCATTGTAGCCTGACACTTCATGTCTAAAAGAAGATTGACTAAAAACATGTCCCTGACAGCACAGCTTTTAAAGAAAACCATGGGCATTTCACACCAGAGGCATCCATTGTGATCA